TTAGCTAAACAACACATTTTTCTATATGATATTATTTATAATTCTAAATTGAGTACTCAAGAAAAACTTGTGAGCAAGGTTTTAAAACCCGAACCGGACATAAAACCGGTTTGTTCACCGGTTCTCGATTTGATCGGTCCAACCGGTTCAATCGGTCGACCGACCGGGTCAAAGGCAAAATGCAAAAACAGAAGTGTAGTGTTTCCCGCATCATTCTGCTGCGGTGAGACTAAAAAAGCAGAGTCAAGAAATTAAATCCTGCTTATTAGAAAATCAACTTTATTCCATTACTATTTCGTTCCTCGAGATTGATTTGGGTTTGAAGAACAGAGAGAGACAGTGAGAAAGATTGCGAGATGCATCTATGGCCGTCAGCAGCGCTGAGGGATTCGTTCAAGGTTTCTTATCTGAAGAAACTCGAATGGAATCTCCATAGGATGAACAGCGAGAAGCGGTCTTAGACTCCGACCAATGGACAGAAGCTCTTGGACAACAAAGAGGTTGCCGACGACGCTGTCGCAGCGGAGGTGTCCGTGTCTAATATCGCCTCTGGTGCCTTCTCGTTCTTCAGAGACACGCTGATGGTCCTTTCTTGCTTCTGCTGTGGATGTACTTACTCCTCTCTTCTTGCTCTTGCGAAATTCTCTTGATATTTGAAATTTATATGGTTGGGGTATTGGGGTTTTGATTTAGATGCGAAAGTTTGTAAATTGAGGGTTTCGAATTTTCCAATTGAAATTTCGATGGTTGCTGAGTTTAGGATAGTTAGTGTTAGGGTTTATGAAATTGCTTCTTATTAGAGCAGATTCTCACCTTGCAATTCCTTATTATATTATGCTTTATCTTTATAGAAATGATTGCTGCTGAAGGATTCTGGTTCGATAAATGTCTATGTTTGCATAAAAAATCCTCATTGATGTCACTGCCTGAGCAAAAAAAGGTTGAAGAAATTGAGTTTTTGTAATTTAAACAGATGTATAGTCATTTTACTATAGCTTGATCTTTCTTCATTCTTGTTTTTATTTTTGAATGGTTCAATGAAGAATCAAAGGCAACACCACTGACACCTACTTCCAGCCTTACCTGTTGCAGTCTGAAGCCGGTTGAGTGTAATATAAATTGAGATTGTTTTTGGCCATATAAGTGGTAATTGTTGAGTAGACATCTAATTGGATCTGTTTAAGGTTATATAGGAAGGACTGTGAGAGTGCAGAGAAATGGAGAGTGAGATGATTAAGAATTGCTGTTGTTGTTTTGTCTCCTAATTGTTTCAACTTAATTACTCTCATGAGAAGAAAAATTTTCAGGTCGAAGAGGATCGAGAGAGAGAACGACCTCGGTGAGAAGATGAAAATCTGATGTAGAACAAAAGAAGTATGAGGATCGACCGATCGATAGGGAGAACGACCTTGGCGATGGTGACAAGATGAAGATCTGATGAAGAACAGAAGAAGTGTGATTCCGAATCTGGACGGAAGAGATAAGGAATCGTTGTTTCGGGTTTCTTCTTTGCAATTTGTTTGGAATCGAAGAATCAATGGATTAGAGTTTAGAGAACTGGAGGAGAACTGCAGTGTAAATTGAAGATGGGGGAGGAGACGAGTCGAAGAAGAACTGAAGAAGGCTTAGGGTTCTTGATCTAATTTAGTGATTTTACCGATTTGCACTCAAATTGTGTTTTTTTAAAGAATTTTACCATGTAATTGTTATGTGTAGAGGAGGGTAAAAGGGGTATCAAACAAAAAAAAAAAGGTGTAAAATAAATATTGAATTAAAAAATGGTTGAAAAAATTGAAAATGGCATATTTGAATTTGGCCCGTCGGGTTTATCAGGTTTTCTGGGTTTACCGGGTCTGGCGGGTTTGACGGGTTTGGGCGGTTGGATCGCCTCACTGGTTCTGGGTATGCACTCGGTCCGTTTTCATGACCGGGTGACTATTCGATCGGTTCGACCGGCTCAACCGACCGATCCGGTCCGAGTTTCAAAACACTGCTTGTGAGTAGGCATATAAGCTTAATTTTAAATTCAATTTTTTTTATCAAGCTAGATATTAAGATCAAACTTTACTCAATTAACTCACAAATTACTGTACTCACTGCAACCCTACAGTGAAACTCACTTAATATATTATCATTCAACTTCTTAAATACTAATATTTTACCAAATACAAAAATATTAACAAACTCAATAAAACTTAAATAAAATTGTCGTTACACAATCAACTATTCACTAACTTTCTCTACAATTCTGTATAACACCATCACAAATACTTTCTCATTAAAGTTTTTCTCAATGAAATTGACTTTTAACTAGATATGCCCTAAATGTACCCTAGCAAAGGAAAGTCGATAATGATATGAAAAAACGTTGTATTTTCTTTTTCAAAAAATGACAACTGAGCCTATTTTTATAGTGTTGAGGATGATAGTCATATACTTTTTCCGTTTCTATTTATGTGCTTATATAATTAACTCCAAGGTTTTGAAAACCGGATCGGATTGACTGATTGAACCAGCCTTGAGTAGAAGAAACAGATCAGGTGAATATTTCAAATTGTTTAAGTTATTGAACCACTTAAAACTGTTTAGACCGTCCAAACTGGTGAGAACTAGTAAGCCATCAAACCGGCTGGGTAAACTCTTGGGACAAAAATCTCATACATTTGTCTCCATTGGGTTTCGAACACCAGGTCTAATGAGGGGTTAGCAAGCCATTTGCCATATGGCCACTCTGCCTCTTGTGAGATAAGTTGCAAAGAATATCTTTTAAAGAATATTACAAAGATTTTAAAGGGAAAATCAGTTCGATGAGGTTTGAACTTTGAACACTAGCCCTCTTGGATGCCTAACCAAATTCATGCCACTTGATCTGATTCAAGTTTGTTGTCAAATTATGCGTTAAGATATATTTATGGTAGAATTACATAAATTGAAAAGATATATTTATGGTAGAATTACATAAATTGAACAACTTTATCGCTCGCGAGATTCTAACTATATTTCTCCTTAGTGAAATTAAAAGTTTCGACCACCAATGCCACGAATAATTCTTTGACATGAGTTGCATTATATTTAATTTAATATACATTTTCAAAATTTAATCAATTCAGTTTTTTATCGGTTAAATTGGTTGAATCATTAAAATTGTGAACCGAAAGTCAAAATGATTTGACCTTCGGTTCGGTTTTGAAAACATTGATTAACTCTCAATTATCTTTATAGATAAGAACATTGATTGGTTCATATTTTAGTTTAATATATTATAAAAATATATTTATTAAAAAATTATTATTTTTAAATCTAAAATTAAAAACAGATAAATTTAAATATACAATCATGCATATAAAATGTGAAAACTGACTAAATTGGCTAAACTTATATTGTATTTTAATAGCTAAATTGGCACAAATATCAGGAAATGTGTTAAATTGAGTGCGTATTAATTTTTTCCCTATAGATAATTTGATATAAAGATAATAATATCCTTTGTATTCCTTTAATAAAATTTATTGTTTAAAAAAAATCTTTAGAGATAATTTTAGATAATATATTTGTATATAAAAACAGTGTAGAGTAGGTCATTTTCCTAAACTTTTTTTGGAGGACATGTCTAAAATCCACTTTCTAATTAATATTTTCAAAAACTCCTTATTGAATTGAAAGTTTAATTCATATAGATTATGCATGTCAATTTTTATATTAGTATAATACTTATAACTCTTTAATTAAAGAAATTCTATTGACTAACATATATTTAATGAGATTAAATATCCTACAATCAACAAAGTATGCCTATAAGAACAATTTGAAAGTTAATATGCGTGATCTATTTGAATAAAACTTTCAATCTAATAATTAGTTTTTAGCACTCACATATTGTTGATTTGGCCACAGGTTGCTAACATGGAAATTTGTGGGGGCTACTCAATGTAATTCAACAAAGAAATTTATAAAATAATGAATGGGTTGAACTTTAATGGTAAAAGAAGCATTCGTTAATTAGAATTAGTAATGGTGTTAGTGACAATTAGTAACAGTGTTAGTTGAGTGTTAGCTAAGGGAGATAACTATTATGAAAACTTAAAGTAGAGGGAGGACAATAGTATGTTTTGGAAGAGTGGAGGGAGGTTTTTGAATAATTTCTAAGTACAGGGAGAACAATGAATGAAAATTGAAAGTAAAGGGACTATATTTGGCTTTAACCCTGAGAAATAATGCTTTCTTTGCAAATTCTTAAGCATAAATTAAAAAATAATAAGTCCATACTTCAAACAATCGTATCTTAAAAATGTCTTTATAAATCTCTTTAAAATTTTTCAAAATATTTTATTGTTTAACATGTAAATATTAAAAAACTCATGAGTTTCTCCAACACAATACCGAAGAACTCATTAGCTCTTTGGAGTAAAGTTGTCAATACCATATCGACATATGTATCGATTTTGCTATTGAAACGGTACGTATCGGATATCAGAATTTTTCATGTACCGTTTCAGATTTATCTCTATAAATATATATTTTATAAATTAAATATCAAAGTTTAAAATAATGATAAGAGAAACTAATTTTTAAAACCATCATATTCTTATAAATTGAAAACAAATTTAAAATAGCTAATTTTATAAAACATCCATAATTTTTTTTTTCCTTTAGGTTATTTTTAAAAGTTTTACCGTTTTTTTGATTTTATTTTTTTCCAAACCTTTACTTTTGATTTGTTTAAAAACTTCCATTTTTTTTGTTTGTTGGTTTAAAAAATTCCTTAAAAAAGTTAAATGATGAAAATTATGTAAAACATTAAAATTGATGACCAAATATGAAATTTATCATTTTTAAATTTGAATTCATTTGTGCAGATCCATTTTATTTTTGATATACCAAACTATATTTCGAAATATCAACCAATACACCAAAATTTGATTGAAACAGACGAAATTCAACCGAAATAAAATTAAATCTTATACCATCATAATTTAAAAGAAAAAACTCGATACGTAGCAATTGATATGGTACAAATCTACAACAGTGCTTTGGAGAGTCTGTAACAATAATAGAAAGGACTACAGACAAGACAACTAGACAATTAAGATGCATGGAGGCCTCTAGAAGAGTGAGGAAACATAGCAAGCAATTACCATTGTTGACTATTTTTATTGTTAATTTCAATTTTATTTTTTCAAATAGGCCAAGTGATAGGCTATTAACACTAAATCAACAATTTTCCTTTAAATATTATCAGGCCCTGCCTTGCATGGAATCCTGGTTCCACCACTGTTAAGTACGTGAGGTTCTTGATACTTCCTATTTTTTATTTTTTTTCCTTATTGGAAGAAGTGGCCTTGTTCTCTAGTCCTTCCCAATGAGTCAGCTAAAAACATCCCAAATAGCATGCCTGATGTATATGATGGAGAAAATTTGACGATAGTTTCCTGCCAATCTGTTTACAAGTTAATCTTGCAGTTTATGATGTCCTTAATTTGAAAAGCTTCAAAAGCATTTTTATATTCATTCTCTTGAGGATGTTGTAACATGTTCATTTTAATTGCAATTATCGTAATTTGATTTTGACCCAAACACTTTTTTAATTTTAAATTCTCATAAAATTTAAGAATTGTTATTGACAATTCAAATTTTCGAGGTTTAATGTCTTTATGAGAACTTGGTTTCAAATTAACTTTAGAGAAAATCGAGATTAATGGGAGCTCATTTTAAATATTTTCATTTTTGTACTCAATTGAAAACTATCTAAGACTTTGAAATCTTGATTGTAGGGATTAGATTGAAGACGAAAGAAGCAAGAGGATCAAATTAAGTGTCAAAGTATAAGAATCTTATGGATAAGATGCAAATATGCAGTATTATCTTCTCATGGGGGGATTAAATTCCCATTTTGGCTGTTACTCAGAAACGAAAAAATAAGTGATTCTCAGCAAGTGGCTTACACTGTCATAGCAACCAGTTTGTGCATGGAAAAGGGGTTAACAAATCAAACCAGAGCACAGAGCAGAGATGAGAGGTAGAGAGAGTAAGCGGGATTCCAGACAAGGCACACGGTACCGACGGCGAGCACAGAGCAGCAGGTTCTTCGAACAC